AATTTTCTATACCACTACAGAAATCTAAAATATATATACTTAAATAAACTAAGATTTACATTGTCTTCAAACTACATCACAAATGAATGAATAGTTTGCCTATACTACACCAATTAATCTTATCTCTTCATTCGCTGCGTATTTTGTTTGTAAACTTTTATAACAAATTATTTTCATTTGGATGTATCATTACAAAATTTTAAACTATCAGATTCCTTAGTCATCATCATAACAAACATATATTTAAAAATATTTTATCGAATGTGGGCTTTACAAATAACTAACTCTCTTGAAAGTGTAGAAATGTCAAGAACTTATGGTAAGTACATAGAAATTATTTTATATCCATCACATAACGCGTATTATCATTTTGTACGTAAAAGCTACTGGAAGCTTAACTATTTAATCACAACTAAACATTTGTTAATGCATGTATGACATAACTTACTTCTTCTAATTGTGAAAGTGTTTCTTTCGTGAAATTTACAATGTACTCAAGTTGTTTCATTCATAAAAAGGTTTTTTCGTTAAAAAAAAAAGTTATTTATGACAACCAGCTATTAGTGATAGGATATATTTGCGTTGTTACAAATCATTGGATTCTTTTCACTGTTGAAAAGAATTTTTTTTTCGATTTCACTTATAAAGAGATTCTTTTTTTTTCGTTTTACCAATGGCTGACTATTTTCACTTATGAAGATGGTTTTTTTACCATTCAACTGACCAATTTTATTTATAATTTTTTTTTCGTATATTTGGAGATTTATTTTATGGGTTTTGAATGCTTGTGAGTTGTTTTACGCATATAAGGTCGTTTTCCATCTAACTTATGACGCACTAACTTCTTTTGATTGATGCTCCGATCTATATTTTATATTGCCACAAGGCATTTTGATTGACACAATGATTTTCACCACTAAAAATACTTTTTTCTTCGGTTTTAATACGGGACTGAAATCTTTTTGTGAATTTCATAGTTTGATTGACTGATTTCACTTATAACAAAGTTTTGTTCATGGATTTTATTATGCATCTGATCCTTTTAACTTACATAAATGACTTTTTAGCAATCAACTGACCAATTTCATGTATGAAAACAAGTTTTGTCGGTCAGCTAGCCAAGCGGGCTAGGCGGCCTGTTCTCATTCGCTTTACTGCGAATGGTTTAGTGAATGTGTACAGAAAAACAAAAAGGCTAACGCAGCAGTTTAAAATTCTAGTGAATCTACGGCTTGCTCTATAATGGAGCACTACGGCAAGAGATAAGGGCTTGCGGCTCGGTGATAATCTTCCATAGATTCCTACCACTTAAAAACAATTCTTTTATCTAAAAAGGATTTAAAAATCGAATATAATATCCCATAATATTAACATATTTAAATTATTCTATTGCTTTACCTCAAAGTTAAAAATCCACTCAATATCATACAGATATTAAATTATTTGTTGTTGGGAGCTGTTATCTTTTACTTACTTTTGCTTCTTCACTAATTTCTGCTAAGTTTATTAAAACTAAGTTTTATTTTGTAGACATGTATGGCAGCATCGAAGCCCAACTAGTGAAAGGTTTCGATTTCAATGATGCTTCAATCAGAAGAGGATTCATCCGAAAGGTGTACTCGATACTTTCAGTGCAATTGGGCATAACAACTGCAGTAATATGCTGGTTTCTATTCCACGAGCCGACGAAAAGATTCGTTCAACATCATTCCGCCGTTATGTACGTTTCCTTGGCAATTGCAGTAGTTACGATAATTGTATTGGGGTGTTGTAGAAATGTCAGAAGAAAGTCTCCCGCCAACTACATATTTTTATTTATATTCACCATTGCTGAAAGTTTTTCTTTAGCTTCAGTTGCTTCATATTATGATGTAGATATAGTAGCTATATCTGCGGGGGTTACTGCAATCGTATGTCTTGGACTTACGTTGTTTGCGTTCCTAACAACATGGGATGCTTCTAATTTCTCTGGAATTCTCGTGGTTCTATCTTTAGTTCTTCTGGCTTTCGGAATCACAGCTATCTTCTATCGCAATAATACACTTCGTTTGTTATTAGGAGCAGTAATTGTTCTTATTTTTTCAATATACTTGGTGATTGATACGCAAATGATGTTCAGAGATGATGGTATGTTCAGCATTTCCCCTGAAGAGTACATTTTCGCAGTACTTAATCTCTATCTCGACATTCTCAACATATTTATGTGTCTCTTATTTATCTTTGGTCGTGATTCAAGATAATTCATCTAGTATAACGTGTAAAATTGTTTATATTATCTTTAGAAATAAATCAATGTTGAAACTATCTATTGTGTTAGATTCACTGACTTACCTAAAGACAGACAAAAAGACGTAAAAATACAGACAAAAACATTGTTGGAAACATATATTAAAATTCCTACCACACATTATCAAATTAATAAATAGGAATAATAGTGAAAATTTAAGTTAAAATAATTCATATATTACGTCTTAGTTCTGCAAGATTTTAAACTGGAAATGTTTCAAGGTCATTTTACGAAATAATTAAAAGCGGTTTAACAAGATTTTGGTTGCGAAGACTAGTACACGGGGTTGGAGAGGAGAAAAGTGTGGCATAGGAGCCGGCCCTTGGGGAAGTTCGAATGAATTGAAGACGAGAGTGGGCATACGCCGCTATAGAGTCGGAGAAGAGCCGGCAAATTTTTCGAAGAAAAAGTGATTATACTCAAAGTAATGTGTCTGTTAAAGTAAGAGTAATCACTGATTTTTGTTGTATGCCCTATCTGATCTGAGATATTTGTAAAACGGCGTGTACAAAAAATTTGAAATATAACCATGATGGTTCCAGTTTTGTAAGAAGCCCAGTCTAAAGTTTGAATCTAGTAACCCATTTCAACCTCAATGTCCTAAGCAGCCGTTTCAGGATACTTTTTTCATAGTACGGAGATGAATTTGAGAGTTTGAATTCCAGTTCCTAACCCTAGGAAGCTTAAAGTAATTTTAGTGAAATCAAGGTAACTTTTGTGTTTTTGAACTTCCAAAGTAAAAATAGACATTTTTTATAATAATTTGCTTTCATAACAATTTAAAATAATTTGTAATAATTAAAATTATATGTCATAAGGCGGGGTCTTAGGTGTCTTTATTTGTTCAGTTTTAAAATGCAATACTGACATCTGACAGCTAGTTTTCTTTTTTGACATTAGTTTGTTTTGTTTTTTTAAAAAGGTTAACCTTTATGATTAGTTTAATTTAAAGTGTGGATGATAGCTCTCATAGCTCTCATACAGGGAACCCAAGATGATGCTTTACAGATTCTGGATGATCTCAATAACCTCCATCCTAACATCTCTTTTACTCTGGAACCAGAATCTGACAATAAGTTGAACTTCTTGGATATGACTATTTCCCGTAATAAAGATTCTTTAGAGTACAACATTTATAGAAAACCCACCCAAACAGATCACGTTATACATGGAACGTCTAATCACCCAACTCAACATAAAATGGCTGCTTTCAACAGTTACATTCATCGGTTACTTAAATTTCCTTTTTCTGATGATAATTTTAATACAGAACTTAATACTCTTAAGCAGATTGCTTTCAATAATGGCTATGATCCTAACATTATATACAAACTTCTAAATAGAGCTAAATGAATACACTTAATAAAAGTGGTATTTACAAATTAAAATGTGATGATTGTGTTGCCTCTTATGTAGGTAGAACCATCAGAAAGTTATCCACTAGAGTCTCTGAACATTTGAAAAGACCAAATTCTTCAAGTTTTGGTCAACACTTAGTATCCAGCAACCATAATTTTAACATCAATTTTGGTTCATCTATCTTACATGACATTAGTAGAAAGAAAAACTATCTTGAGTTGGATTTATTGGAAGATTTGGAGATTACAAGGGAAACAAATGAAAACTCTCACTGTCTTAATACTCAAATTAATTTAAATTGTACTTAATTTAAACCTATATTTAAAAACTATATTAAAGCTTTACCTCGTAGAAGACCCAGCTCGACTGTTTAGACTTCATGCACTGAGCATTTCAATATTAGTTTTAAAGTTCTTCCATTGACTGTGGATTCAACTGAACTACTTGGATTATAACCCATTTATATATTTTACTTTCAATTTTGATTTTAACTTTTAGTAATTTTACTGCATATTCAGATTTTTCCTTTTTTACAGTACTGATAGCGCTTGGTAAACCATTTTATTGTAATCAAACATCACTGTTTAATATATTGTTTAGTTTTTTCTTACGTTCATACTTTATGTCAACTTCAATCGCTCTCAAACTAACATCCTAATTATTATAGACAGGTTTGAGTGTGAGATTTGGATTATTCAATCTACATAAAAATATACTAATTTTATATTTCATCAGTTGATTTCCTATAGTGGTGTCAGTTGGACCTTTGGTCAATACTTAGTTTCATAGAATTTTGAAAGGTGCAGATCACATAACTGCCCTTTACAAGCTGTCATTTGTCACATGTCATCTCAACATTTCCGCCAGACCGGGAGCCCATTCTGTCTCCGGCTTCTATATAACATGTAGCTTCTCCTTTTTAAAAATTTTAAAGTGTTTGTTTGTCTTTGTGTATTGTATTGTTATGTCCAAATTTACATGTATGACATTCTACTCATGTCGGATAGGCCACAACTGACGAAGTAAGTCTATAAACGTTTATCACATAAAAACTTTTTTCAACCATAAACTTGGAGTTTTTTATCCAAGTGAATTAATTTTCCTTCTTATAAAAAAACGTTTCTTGGCTTATTTCAGATGCCCCTGAAGATGATCTATTGATCGAAAGTACTTGGGCAAGATTAATTAATCACTGTGTTCGATAGTTGCCTTGTATACTATCAAAAATATTTTTTTTATTTGTAATAATTTATTTCTGCCACAAATTATATCCCAGTAACATTAGTAAGTATTATACTATTGTAGCATCTTCAATTTCTAAGAGTCTGTAAACGTATAGGACAAACCTATGTTGTTAATCTATATAACATGCTACGATAGGCGCCATGGTTTCTTTGTGACATTTGCCTACGGCCAAGATTACAGTATCTAGGGTGGCTAGAGGGTCATGTGTTAATTGGGGATCTAAGTTTAGTGAATAGAGTATATTATATTTTTTATGTTAGTATTAAAACCAAGATTTTAATTTTTTATTGTGACTAATTTTACAGATTCTTATTTCAACAAGAAATACAAAGAAACTTCCCAACAACCCAGTACCTAATAAAATAAAAGCTCCTACAAGCTTTGACATCCCAATAGTCCTATAAAATCTATTTGCTACATAATTCGTGAAGAACGTTGCTTGAGAACCAGAGTCGTAAAGGTGAAGATATTTAAACAGGATATAGTTGGCAATGCCACTTTCGACAAATCTGGTAATGGTTTTATCAATTAGTTTAGTTAGTGGAGTATCTTTTTTAACGAAAAATACACTTCCGTGAGTTGCCACACATTGTTTTATCACTTTATAGTATTGTTTCGCCTCTTCTGGTAAAGTTACGATGTCTACAACATATTGGTTTTCTACAAGTGTCACGAAAATTGCGGAATTTTGCGAACGGTCTTCTATTCGCCTACCATAGACATGCAGGTTAGCAAGCTTTGTGTACAGAGTACTATTTATTAACAAAAACTCCTTTTTGGGTACTGTATTCGTCAATTTCCATGGAATTTTTAATCTAACCATATCCTGCAAATTGTTGACTACATTGGTGATGGGAGGTCGAGCTGTTGTGCTTGTAACTGCAGCTGCATAGAAAGTACCGCAGACTAGACAAGTAAAAAACCATACAGTTAACAAAAATTTTGAAGAATATAAATTATACACCAACCGCAAGTTTATTCCAGCACCTGTAAATATATGTACAAGATCTAGGAAATATCTTGCTACATCGTTAAGCGGATGCTGAAAATAATTTAAAGAATTAAATACTTTTTCTGCAAGGCACAGAAAAAATGAACAAAATAAAATTAGACCTATGGTGGACCAAGACACAACAGAATGCAACGTGTAATATACAAAGAGTATATCCGGGTACAAAGTGGGTTTCCTTACTAAAAAAGTAACACAGATTTGATGAGTAGATTTAGTTAATTCTAAATTTTTGTTATACGCATTGAGTGGCCATCTGGAGCATCCACAAATGTCTTTGGTTCCGGCCTCTACTTCAGGAATAGTGTTGAACCACATTGATCCGTCTGTAGTGTCGTAACTGTAGACGGAGTAGTTTACTTGATCGTGGAGTGTTTCTTCTAAAATAACCTTTTCTGTTCCATCGAATTTGTTGTTATCTGTAATATCCAAAGTAATATAAAAAGTAATTCAGAATCTAAAATAGAATATATGAATTTTGTAGCTAAAGTAAGGGGATGAAACGCGAGATAGAAGTAAAAGAATGATTCTGTAAAAATAAACAAAGCAAAATCAGTTATACATCTTTAAAAGGATTTGTAATTTGTTTTATATAATATCATAGGAGAGAAAATTTTGCCGGCAATATTTTTAACTGGTATGAAAGTTTGTTGCCTGGCAATATTCGCGAATTAAATTTCGATAGTTAAATTACGAAACGTCCGTCGAGTGATTTTGTCAAAATTTCATATGCAAAAATTACCAAAAGGCAACTAACTTGAATAAAACCAGAAGAAAATTTTGCCGGTAAATAATTTTCTCTCGAATGATATTCGACGAGACTATTTCACGTAACAATTAATGTACCATATCAACGAAACATAATCTCTATTTATTTGTTAACAATATTAAATGTACAATTATTATAAGAGTAGAAGGGTAGCCACTTAAAGCCACTTTGACCTTTGACTCCTGACGTCACAAACCCCGTCTACATTCGTCCCCACTTTTCACTCAAGTCGCCCCGATAATGCTAACTGCCTAAAATTTGTTAAAGCTGTTCAAGACCTCTTCGAGACCTAACCAGACCTGTTCAAGATCGTTTTGAAGCTATTTTCTTATGGTATTTTAAAGTAATTACTATTTAAATGAGAATAAGCCACAATTAAAGGTTAAAGTACGTTTATTGACGTTTTTTTTAGATCGATTTCCGAATTGGAAATTAAAACGTCAATAAACGTACTTTAACCTTTAATTGTGGCTTATTCCCATTTAAATAGTCATTACTGTTCAAGATCTGATCAAAACCTGATCAAACCTGTTCGAGACGTGATCTAAAGCTGTTCAAGATTGATGGTATACTTAATTTTACGATGAATAAATCTTCTGGAATTATTTGTCCTTGTTTGAGTTGTCTCTATTTACTTTGGATGTTTCTCTGTTTCGTTATTAGTTGTCTTTTCAAATCTTTATTTATCGTAAAATGTAGGTATATGATCAATCTTTTGGTTTTAGATCAGGTCTCGAACAGGTCTTGATCAGGTCTTGATAAGGTCTCAAACAGGTCCTGAACAGCTTTAACAAATTTTAAGCAGTTGGCACGATCGGAGTGGCTTGAGCTTGGAGTGGAGACGAATGTAGACGGGGGTTATGACGTAAGGGGCCAAAGGTCAAAGTGTCTTCAAGTGCCTACTCAAATAGAGCTTCCAGACCTCTGCGGGAAATTTTTCAAAACCAATTTTTTTATTTTTTCATCTGACTGGCATTCAAATCTTCATTTTTGTCTAGAATCATCATATCTGTCATAACTTTGTCGCTGAAAAATCATGGGCAGGAAGGAGTTTTGTCAGTAGGAAACGTGGAGTTGCTATGACGTTTTCATCAGTTAAAAATAGTCTAGTGAAATAGTCATTTTAAAATCATAATGAATGAAAGTAGATGAATGTAATAAAAACTATTGATCTGAATATTTACCTACTACCATATAGGGTGGACAATGGAATGTGTTGACTCTAATTTGAGATCTGAACTTTGGTATCCAGTTTGTCTTTTTAATCATCGGCGCCACTGTTATAGAACTAAACTTCTTTCCGAAAACTAACTCCAGCGTTTGATTTGCTCTTAAAACATTAACTGCCAATTTGAAGCCCGCTGTAATATTTTGAAAATAATTTTCTTCGATATCTTCTACTACAGTGATAACAGTACATTCAATAGCCTTTTCGTTAATTGCAACTGTTAGAAAGTCGGAAGAAAAACGATAATTTGATTCTGCTGTCATTATTAATATAATTTTACCCCAAGAACGAAACATTTTAAGTACCTCATCTGTAGTACCAAGTCGTTCCAAATGCTCAATAGTTTCAGCAAAGATTAAATACTCTTTACATACAAAACTAAGTATTTCTTGTGACATATTTAACTGAACAGTAATTCTTGGTATATTCGTTAATGTCAGAGCTGAATTTATTTTTTGAGTTAATTCATTTGACAAATTTTCTTCATATACATAGAAAATACAGCGACTAAAGTAGCTGTCAAATATTGACGTCAGGAATTGTTCAACGGTCAAATATTTTGCTAGAAATTAAAATTGTATGTCAAATATTGTGATAAATTAAAAAATGCAAAAATGTAGATCTAATTGCTTAATAGTTTTTTGAAGCAAACTAAAATTTGATTTAATGGATGAAAATTGCTACTGAAAAACGTTATTTTTAAAAATTTGTTTAGCATTTAGCAGAGATTTGGAAGATTTTAACCATTAAAGCGTCAATTATATTTTCTAAATCTACGAAATAGTCCGAATAAAAAAAAACGGCTTCCAACCATGTTCCCCATCTGTTAGAACGGAAAAGCAATAATTTATGGCTAGAAACAGCTATAGGAAGAAAGAAAATTGATATTTCTTTTTGTACAAAGCGTTATATTGTTGAAGAGTTGGTTTTTTTCTAATTACTTGTATGAAATTAAATAGGATTGTGCGCAGATCTAATTGCTTAGAATATCAATCATTAAATGAGCGATATATCTTCCTAAAGAATCAGTAGTTTTATCAACACACTTAGAAATAATTGTTACTAATATTAGTTTTTATATTATCTATTACCATATTAGTCATACCATTATCTATGGTTAGATTATATTTAAAATCCGTAATTGGAAATGAATTGACGTTTATCTATTTTATGCAATTTTTATTATCTGTGGTTTTCCTCTATTTGATTTAACACTGTTTTTTAAAGAATTTTTGAATAATCTAATTAGCAAATACCTTTGTCAACAGTTTAAAAGTTGTGTGATCATGATTGTATGATAATTGGTAGGATTTATTCTTAGAATTCCTTTTTTATGTATTGATATTCTAATGCTAGTCCTTCTCTAATTAAATTTAGAGGTTGCAAAAGTCGCCACATCTCGAGAAATTATCATCTTGAGAGACTTAAATAGTAGAACTGGAAAAAACCCCATAACGCAGTTACCAGATTAATATCATAATGCGAACAAAATGAAATGAAAATTGCAAATGGATTTTTTCAACACAGGACATACACATGGACGCAAAATACGAGAGGGTTAAAATCAATCATAGACTACACAATCATACGACAGAAGACAAATATGATTGTACAAGATGTAAGAGTATTGAGAGGAGCTACCTGTGGAAGTGATCATCACTTATTTAAAAGCTAAGATCACATTTGGAGTAAATAAATTTAAAGAAGGAAATAAAAGGGAGAAAGTAATAGAGAATAGGTATAACCTAATCAGCTTAGAACAAGGAAGCTGAGAGAATTATACAGAATAGTAATCAAAGTTGGAAAATAAACAATTTAATAATAATGAAGAACATTACACTCACATAAAAAGGTGTCTCCAGGAGGCAGCAACAGAAGCCATTGGATACCAAATCCAGAATCAAAGAAAACTTCCATATGGGTTTGACGAAGAAAGAGAACAAGAAATATAGAAGAAAAGAGACCAATATCAAAAATTCTTAAATACAAAGAATATAACGGATAAAATAATATAGTCGAAAGGAAAATGCAGCATGGCAACCAAAAGTGAAACATGATAAATTCACATCTAGGAGGACGAAGATGCACAGAAAGTTGGAAAGTCTTGAAATATTTATGACAAGATTAGAAGATAGACATAGTGTCAACAATAACAATGGATGACTGGACCAATATTTTGAGCAACTCTTAAGGAAAGATAGACCACAATTATATACAGCAACGAAACGCAAATTATAATTATTTTAATTTCGCCAATACGAATAACAACGAAAGAAGTGGAAGATGTATGTAGATCTCTAAAAATAGCAAAGCACCGGGTCCAGGTAACATCCCTGTAGAGTTAATTAAACACACTACAACCAAATTATATACAAGTTTAGCCAAACTGTTCCAAAACTGCATTCATGGAGTGACAATCCCAGAGGGAAGACATCATTCATATCCACTATACAAAAAAGGCAGACGGGATAAATGTGACAATTACGGAGGCATTGCCAGACAATTACAGACGCATAGAATAGAAAGCGAATATGAAGACTTAGAGGCTGAGAAACAGGCAGGATTTAGGACAGATAGATCTACTGTTGACCATTTGTTTTCTATCACACAGATTATTGAAAAGAAAATAGCCGTTAATCAAGAAGTACATTTATTGTATGTAGACCTACGAAAGTAGGCTTATGATAGCTTACTACATTATAAATTATATGAAGCGTTAGAGAAAACAAACATAAGTATGAATTTAATAAATGCGACGAAGGAACTGTACGCTAATGCTAACTCGGAGGTAAAGGTTGGAAATAATCTGTCAAGTGGATTCCAAATAAATAAAAGTCTTAAGCAGAGCTGCTGTCTCTCCCCGACATTATTTAAAACTTATCTAGAACAGGCTCTAAAACTGTGGAAGAGCAAATGTAGAAATATGGGAATGCCGAATAACAACAATAGCATATACACTTTGTCATTTGCAGATGATCAACTAGCAATACCACAAGATTATGAAGATATTGAGTGTATGCCTTGAAAATTAATCGAGGAGCTATAAAACAATTGAGGAGAAAAACAACTAAGCAAGAAAAGCAATTTCCATTCTCAATAGTATCCTTTGGGATCAATAAATCTCTAATAAAAACAAACACAAGATATACAATACAATCATTAAAAGTATAATAACCTGCAGTAGTAAAGTATGGCAAATAAAGGAAAGATACAAGGGAAAACTTGAGGCAACGGAAATGGACTTCTGGAGACGTTCAGCTAGAAAATCTAGACTTAAAGAGTAACGAACAACAGAATAATGAGAAATTATGAAAGTAAAGTATACAATAGTAGACGATATTGGTACCCAACAACTAAGATGGTACGGTCATGTACAGATGTCTCAAGAACGTCTCCCAAAACAAGTCTTAATGTAGACCCCT